GTGTGTGTGTGTGTGTGTGTGTGTGTGTGTGTGTGTGTGTGTGTGTGAGAGGGAGAGAGTGAGCTTGCAAATGTGTGTATGTATGCGAAAGAAAGGAGAGCGTATGCGTATGTGTATTTTTCTTCATTTATTCTTTATGCTATTCTCATTTCCTTTTTTTTTGTTCGATATTAGAAAATACAAGCCACGTCAAGAGCCATCGTTGTCGACATCATCGTTTGATGATGTATAGTTATTTTTGATACGTGCGCACCCATCTGTATGTTAATATCTAGCTATAAATCACATATTATTCATATTATAATAAACAGCATCTCTACCTAAAAATACCGTATATTGTATCCCCATATACATGCAGATAGAGTGTTTGATTTTTTTTTTTTGATTTACCTTGATTTCCGTTGTTCAGTTGTGTTTTTCTCTCTCTACATTTTTACACAATCATTTGACCGTTTCTTTTGCATACAATATATCAAATAACGTAATTCCATATTCCATATCAGTATTTTGTATTTTAAAATTAACGCATCAGATAGTACATGAATTATACTCGTCAATTGATTGATACCAACAAAAACACACACACACACACACACATACCAATTTTATTTCAATGTGAAGAGTTTTTGCGAGTCTTATTACTTTCTATTGTTATCATTTAGTTTGTCATCATCATTTTTTTTTGTGTTGTGTTGATCATTCCAGAAAAAAAAACGGATATAACGAAATAAAGGCAACCTATTGTCGTTTAGTTGCAATTTAGTATTCGATTCAATTTCGATTAACACGTTTTTCCCACCCGAAATTTTTCATTCATGCAACAATTATGAGCTCGTTTTATTGCAATCGATTTGATTATATACACCCGATTAAACCACGTTTGTTTCCCTTTTTTCCTTCCATTTCATTCGTACATAACAATCGAAATTAATGATTCACAAACAACCACCAACACAAAAACAAACAAAATGAAATGAAAAATACAAACTATTTTCGCCTTATCTGAGTTTTGAATTGATTTAATATATTTGTATTTACTACTCTGTGCTACCCTGATTCAATCAATTATTTATTGTTTTTTTTTTTTTTTTTTTTTTCGTTTTGTCGGCCATGATGTTGAGAGTATTTATTGTTTGGGTTTCATTTCGATCTCGATATCTATTTTTTGTTCTTTCTTCAAGTTTCCGTTTGGAACAACTTATGCTGTAAATGATTATATATAAATATACAGATACTTTTTTGCTTGATTATTGTTAGCCTTAGGTCATAAAACTTCTCTTTTGGTTTTGAGTTTTGTGTTGAAATCTCCCCCGTTCTACCACCCACCCACTCACGGTTGCAATTCTTAGGTTGTTGAGTTAAGAGCATTAGTTTTACTTTAGTTTCCATTCCTTTCAATTCGCAATGTTTTTTTCTCTTTCTCTCTTCGTTTGAATTTCAGCTAGATCCGAATTAGCAAAACGATCTATCAAATTGAAAAATTGTCTCACATTTTCTTTTCATTACTATGAATTCCGTTGTGTCACATATGTGGTTTCTATAAAAAAAAAAAACGTTTTTTTCTTTCTGTATCATGCCATTTTTTGTCAACGAAAAAATTCGATTCTCTTCTGTTATAGTTCTACAGTGATTTTTGTACTTCGATCAATTCAATTCAACAAATTTTTTCCCCCAGAATTCAAGCACTTAGAGAGGCTTGAATGCTTTTTTTTTATGTTGATTAAGCACTTGAAGCATTTGAATTTCATTCAGTTTTCAAGTGTCGCAAACACACATACAGACAGTTTAAGTACTGTTTTATTACTTTTCCCATTGAACATTTTTTGGTTTTGAATGGTCATTGAAATTTTAAGTTTTCCAATGGCTTATTTGATCGCAGACTTCGTCACACTTCAACAGAATCAAGGAAAATGCGTCCACACTGAACATATCTCGTTCAAACTGACTGATTGATTAAAATTTATCCAAAAAAATCGGCGAATATAGTTGTATGCATACCTCTCGACTTGATATTATTCGCAATTCATAACCTTAGTTGAAAAATGTAATTTGAAATATTTGTTTTCGCATTAATTTAAGGTCCTTTCATTGCCTTAACATCTTCGTCTCTTTCAGATCGCTTTTTAATCATTACAAAATTTGATCTCATTGTTCACTTAATTTCCTACACACAAATATTCAATGCGATTGTGTGTGTGTGTGTTTATGGAAGAGAAGAAAACAAATTTGGGGATCGTCGAGTACACATTATAATTATATTTTTTTTGTCGAAATTATGTCTTTAGTAGAAATGTGAGTGAGAATACAAGCTTTAGCTTTGCTTTCTCTCTCGTTTTCTCTTTCTTTCACATTCGCTTCCGATGCTTCTGCTCTCTGTCTGTCGCTTTTTGTATTACGTCAATGTTTTTCGACCCGAAAGATAAATGGTATTTTTGGTTTATGGAATGGAAACGAAAAAGTCTGTGCCAGCGCTAAGAAAATGAGTCGAAAAGAGAAAGGCGAAAGAAAGCAATCAAGGAAGCTTGTATTGAATTATATACACACGGCGTGAGCTCTCCTCGGATGTTGTGCAGCAGCACCAGCAGCATCAGCAGCGGTAACGATGGAGCACATACACACCGAGCTTTTACAACATTCATATGCCAATTTTCGACATACTGAGAAAGAGAGAGAGAGAGAGAGAGAGAGAGAGAGAGAGAGAGAGAGAGAGAAAGAGAAAATGATATAAAACGATCCAAGCATAACTATTTAGTGAAGAGAGTAAAGTGAACGTTGCATAAAACCAGAAGAAAGTAAGAGACCAAGCGAGCGCAAGGCATTTCAACGAGGAACTTTGCAATCAATATCCAAGCAGCCCAAAAGTAAATGAATTCAAAGTTTAATGGTTGTAAAATGAAATTAGAAACTGTAGTAGCGAACGAGAGGGGAAGTGAAATTTCACGATCCGATGTTGAGAAGGTTAGAAAATTGATGAAAAAGCAATCTATTATTAATGTTGGTCAGAGTGAGTTCCGCATGGTATACATGAAATGGACACTCGGAAATCATAGCTTCCACCTCTCTTCTATTCTTCTTCGCCACTCGCTCACAACCTACACCGTCAAAAAAATCACAAGGAATACGTCCAAATTGGAAAAAAAAATTTGACCCAACAAATGTGCGGTCGTGTCCTGTGGAATTATACACATAAACGAAAATGTGGTGAAACATAGAGCAAAACAAATCGGAGAGATGAAAATAATTCAAACTGAGAAGAAAAGTTCTAGTTATTTTACCACCAAAGTAACGTTACAGCCTTGCCAATGAGATGAGATTGCATTGATGGGTTGCACACATTTTGGGGGAGCATGAGAGGTCAGGACGCGTCAGAAAATATACGATTTTCGTGTATGCCATCATTGGTTCTAGTATTCTTTTGCACACTCGTTTGCTCTCCGCTTTCGATGTTGATGCTACTGCCACTGCTGATGATGATGATGGTTGAAGCGCGTTTTGCGAAAACTATATCTGAATCATTGACGTTGAAAATTTCGTGCATATTGCATATTTTATGGGGGTAGAACGTCATACGCGCGGGCGCACATTTCCATATCATTCGCATTTCGCTGAGTACGATTATGATGACGACGATGACATCGTTGTCGTCGTCGACGAAAATAATGTGTATGACACCCAGATACATGTTTTACAACAGTGGCAAAACAGAATTTTCGAAAAAGAAGAGAGAGAAAAATAGAGGGAAAAAAAATCGGCGGAGAGAATTATTTTCAACACGTTATACGTATCGTATGCTCGACGCGCAGCCAGTAGATTAAGTGTGATATGTAGCTTGAACAGTGTCAAGCGAAAATCTGCATATATCATAATTGTGCAACACATCTATGGCGGATGTGTGTGTGTGTGTGTGTGATTTAGTGGGTGCCTTCATGCACTGCCTTCACTCTTCACATACGTGTTCGCGTGTTTTGAGATTGTTGATGTTTGCATTTGTGTGTTGGCTTGTCTTGTTACTTTCTCAAGTATTCCATTTGACATAAGTTAGTTTGAGGATATTTCGCTCTTTTTATTTCTGTTGTTGCACATAAAGCGCGCACATTTCTGACATTTAGATATATAATTACACAAATAATTAATGCGAAATACTTTCACTCCACACCAGATGCAGATTGTGTATTTCTTGTGTTTGTTTGCATTTCCTTATCTTAACAAATGCAGATGAAAGTATGTCAAATGAAATGAAGAAAGTTGATGTCGGCCACATTTCTCACTTTCACTCTCTCACTCACTCACATATACATACCGACTTCCAACGACAGCAAACGATATGCATAAATGGCACAAATATCATTCGAAGGCAAAATTGTCAGAGTTTTTGCGTGTTTATATTCTTTTATTCCTTTGAGAGAGAGGAAGAGGGAGAGCGACAGAAGACCAATTAAAAGTTTGATTTTGTAATGGAAATTTGTAATCAAAAATATGAGATTTTGTAGCAATATTTGAATTGGTGTGCGTGTTGTGTCAGATGGATGCAGAAATTGTCAAAATGATTGGCAATGACAATTTTTCGAATTTAATTTCATCCGCCTTTGAAAATGACGAATAAAA